AAGGAGGAGGGATAAGGATGATAGATGACTAGGGGGAAAGAGGGATCAAACCTTGTGTCTGTGGGTGCGTAAAACACCTACATTAAAAAAAATACTTTTTTACAGCTCTTTCCAATTTTTGCACTGAATAGAGGTGTCACAAGAGAGTAACAAACACAAAATAGAAAGAGGGGAGATAAGGACGATAGAAGTTTGATACGAAAGAAGAAACAAACCACAACACCAGAGCACCCTCCAACCACCCACAGAGGTGTCACAAGAGAGTAACAAACACAAAATAGAAGGAGGGGAGATAAGGACGATAGATGTTGGATAGGACTTTATTGTCAGTTTTGATAGTTCTATGCACACAAATATACGTATGTCCCCAGACCGATCATGTTTTTCTGCTCTTAAGTGTGGTAATCATTCACAATTCCTAAGAAAAAAATCATTCGTCAAAATGAGGAAACTAGCTGTTAGCCAAGAGTTCAAATTGTTTGAAAAAATACAGCGTTAACATTCTGGCCTTATTGCTCATGCTGCACCTCGGAGTGCTTTGTCCGCGTGTTCCCATTTGCCAGCACAAGTTTTTGTACCACAAAGTCTTGATGGAACTTGCGTCAAAGAACTTCCGTGTGACTCATTTAATGAGAGCGTAATTTTGGTAATGACAGGCCTTTCCTCACTAGGCACTTGAGAGTACTTGACACCCACAGCGGAGTACCCAAATACACCATAGATAGACTTTTGTAAATTGGTGGGGGTAGGGGGCTCATGAATGACACCACCGGCTTCTGGAGTGAGGAGGAGTTTTTATCAAGTGTTTAGGTTTTTAGCTGGGATGTTGTTTCCCTCTCAGCCAGAGTTGATGCTGACAGGCAGGGTGGGAAACTGGCCTCCTAAATTATCTAAATTGTGACAATGGAGCCGTAAAAACACCAACAATTTGAAAAAAGATTTTAAAAGATTTTAATGAATGATGTCTACCAAGATGGAAGCCAAGTACACCATAGACATATATGTATATCCAGAGTTTCATGAATGACAGCTTCATCAGAGAAGCCAAATACATCATAGACATACGTACATACAGGTTAATAAATGATGCCAACATCATAGTAACGAAATACACCATAGAAATAGGGACATCATAGTAACGAAATACACCATAGACATTGGGACATCATAGTAACGAAATGCACCATAGACATTGGGACATCATAGTAACGAAATACACCATAGACATGAGCATATTTTGAGGTTGATGAATGACACCTACAGTTGGAGTACTCATATACGCCATAGACATACGTATTACATTCCGAGGTTTATGAATGACTGTCAGAGCACTTGACCTCTAAGTCATTGACAGCAGCGGGGTTTCTTTTTGGTTGCACCCTCTTGTACGTGCATGGCTGTCCTTTGCTAGTCCTGTCTGGGTCAAGTGCTTGCACCCACACCTTGTTGTGGGAAACAGACGTCAAGTGCTCGTTTCATCCCGTCCCTGTTTCTCTTACTGGGTCAACTTTTTCTCTTTCCTTCTACTTTTTTTGTTTCACCC